AAACAGAATTTAAATAGACTTGAAGCATTTCACCGTGGGCACGTGAATAAACAATGGGAATTTGTTGTTCCATTAGTTTAAGACCAATATGTAAGTTTTTATTATTTCAAAATGAAGTAGATTTTTTGTGTGTGTGTGTGTGTGTTAGTTTTAAAGTATATTGACAATCTTAATGAAATACATAATGCTTTAGTTGCTGAGGTTACCTTACAGACTTAACACATAGTTGACTCCGATGGTGATCTAAACTCCGCTCATTGGATCGCAATATTCGAGAAGGTTTTATGTGCTCAAGGGGGGTATGTGAGAGACATTGGGCCTAAACCTCCTTCTGCAGCAAGTGCTCCATCTCAATGGCAGTCACAGTCATAAGCACCACAACCAACACCGGTAATTATTAAATTCTTAAAGAATTTGGTAGCTTTGCTATATTGTTAACAATTTGATGCATTTATCCGCTCGTTTAAGAACCAAGTCAACAACGAGGAAAACAACGATGGGGAAGACGAAGACGCATAGTAATTCTTGTTTTTAGTTATGGATGATGTTATATTGGATTTATTAGATAGTTTATGGATGATATATTTGATGTTTACTTTGGATTTATTAAATAGTTTATGTAATGTGGTATATTTGATGTTTTATGTAATGTGGTATGTATTAATTTTTGTATTTTTATCAAATCTGCATTTTATAATATATAAACTAATATCATAGATAAATTAAAAAAAAACATTAGCAGCGACACCTTTCGGGACGACATTGACCAATTGTGACGACTCCTGCCTCCGGGAACCCTTGTCGAAAAAACTCCGACAGATAGCCAAAATATCAATAGAGATGACACCAATAGCGACGATCATGACATTTAGCGACGACGTCAGTTGCGATGACAAATGAGTATTAGCTACGAGGTAATAGTAACAACCCTTTAGCGACGACATGTCATCGCTAAAGGTATTAGCGACGACATGAGGCATCAATTGGGACGTTTTTTGTTGTCGCTAAAGGTAATGTTTTTTGTTGTGTAGCTGAAATCTTCGTAATACAAATAATAAAGTTTTTTTAGCATAATGTTTTAGTATATGTTTTATGATTAAATACAATTTTTAATTTCAAAACCAAAATCATGGTAATAAGAGTTGGAGGCTAAAGAGCGAAGCGGTTATACGGTAGCATCTTTGAGAAAATCTATTGATTCTCGGTTGCTAGATTCGGCTCCTAAAGCAACTACTTGGTGTAAAATGATGCTCGGGAAGATCAATATGTTATTGTGGAGACTTCGGTTGTGTAGATTGCCTACCAAAGAGAACCTGGTTGGTTAGTAGAGGGGTGCCTATTTAGAACCTAATGCGCCCTTTGTGTTGCTCAGTCATGGAAAGTGAGGAACACTTATTTCTCAACTATTCTACCGCCAAGGAGTTGATGGCTCAACTGGGTAGTCGGTGGTTCTTTCTCCTAATTTAGTTGATGTTAACTGTGTTGAGGTTTTGATTACAGGTTTGAGCAGCCCCAATTTTCTTATATTGTGGAGGTCAAGTGTGAAGTGGTCATTAGAGCCTTCCTATAGGTTTTATGGTCGTATATGACTGACTTGAGTTTTAGGGGCGCACCTAAAGGAATTACTATGTTAACTATGGAAGTTATGTCTGCTTCCTATCCTTGGTTTAGATGTAGATGCAAAAGGTATGGGACCTTGAAGTGGGATTCATGAATGCAATTTGTTTGGTTTTTTCTAGCTTCTCACTAGCATTTAATAAAGTCTTGTTATTAAAAAAACAATTATAGTTAAAAGAAAGGAATGATGCATTTTCAATTAATTTGTTATAGGTATCAATAAATGTATGTTGATTTGATAACTGTTTTCTTGTCCCAAATGCAAGAAATAGCAATGTACTTTGGTATTTCTCATATTTAAGGTTCTTTAGTACAAAATAAGTAGAAAGTAAGCTACCATTTCTTGTGAAACAAGACTATTTAATTTCAAAGTCTCATATATCTATATAATGATAAATAAATGCAGGTTGATTTGGTAATTGTGTTTATGTTCCAAGTGCAAGAAATAGCAATGTACTTTGGTTTTTTTTTTGTCCCAAGTGCAAGAAATAGCAATGTACTTTGGTATCAATAAATTCATGTTGATTTGGTTGTGTTTTTCTCCCAAGTGCAAGGAATAGCAATGTACTTTGGTATTTCTTGTATTTAAGGTTCTTTAGCACAAATAAGTAGAAAGTAAGCTATAATTTCTTGTAAAACAAGACTATCTAGTTTCAAAGTCTCATTATATTAATATAATGATCAATAAATGAATGTTGATTTGGTAAATGTATTTGTAATTGTGTTTATGTTCCAAGTTTAAGAAATAGCAATGTACTTTGGTTTTTTGTCCCTAGTTTAAAAATAGCAATGCACTTTGACATCAATAAATGCATGTTGATTTGGTAATTGTGTTTATATCCCAAGTTCAAGAAATAACAATGTGCTTTTGGTATTTCTTGTATTTAAGTGCGAGAAATAACAATATACTTTGGTAGTTTTTGTTTGTGTTGATAGTTTAACTTATAAGTTTATGTATGTTGTTATTTATTATGTAGTTTGAAAGTCTTCGTGCAATGCTCAATGAACCGGCGTGTAAGGAGGAACTTTATGCGTTTTTTTAATAGAGGAAACCACAAAGTGATGATCAAGGAGGAAACGTGGGAAACGGAGATGATGGTTCCATGGATAATTAGTTTGTGTTTTGTACGTTAGACTTGTTGTGACATAAATTTATAACACTTTAGTTGTTTAATTATTTTGGTATTTTTATTAGATTACAACACTTAGATACCTAACAGGATTTCGTTATGTAATTTATTTATGCATTTAATTTCATTACCGGCCTATCGGTTTTTTTACACCCGAAAAATGTTGATTTTAAAAAAATTAAAAATATGAAAAATAATATTATCGATGACACTATTACCGACCACATATATTATTACCGGTGACAAAAGTATTATCGTCGACAAATATTTTTAACGACGACCTTTTAAGCAATAGCGATAGGGCAGTACCGACTACTTCGTCGTTATTACTTATTTTACCAGCGATTATCGCCTCTAATGCCACTTTGTTATAGTGCATGTCAATGAGAAAGGAATTGAAGTGGGCTCAAAGAATGGTAAAAGCCTAAAAGGTTTCTAGAACACACCTACCACGTTGCCATCGGTCTCCGACATTCAATATTTTAAATGGGATTTGTTTAAAATATTTGAAGGGAAAAAATGAGATTTGCGTAAAATAATGCAATTAATGCATGCGTTGATTGTTCATATCACGCACAAATACTTTTCTTCTTCTATCAAGCTTCCAGAGAATTTCAAAATAATGCAATAAAACATTCTAATGGATTAAATAGCTCAAGGCCTAGTCTCGATGACTCATTCAACAGACAAACTAGAAATGCGTTTACCGGTGTACGTATTTGAATAAATATATCCCACTTGCATGTCCTTTTTTCATTGTTGCGGTATATATATGTATCGATTGGTGATTGTTCTTACTCAAATATTTAAGCTAAACAGGCATCAAAGCATTGTTCTCTTCTAAAAAAATATATGGAGTATCACAAGTCAATTGTAACTATTTTGATTCCCATACTCGCTTTACTTCTCTCATCGAATTACATACCATGCAAAGCTCAGCTTTCTACCACCTTTTACGATGACACATGCCCTAATGCACTCACCACAATTAGGTCTTCTATTAATGCCGCGGTGACTAGTGAAAGTCGCATGGCAGCCTCTCTCATTCGCCTTCATTTTCACGATTGTTTCGTTCAGGTTAATTAATAATTTGTTTCTTAAATCTTAATCATCTTTTTTCCATGCATGGTGCTTCTACATTAGAAGCAATTAAGAACATGCAGATTTAATCGATCAGGTCAATTTTGCAGGGTTGTGATGCATCCATTTTACTAGATGATGCCCCAAGTGAAAAGACTGTAGGTAGGAATGGAGGTGTGAGGGGCTATAACGTTATAGATGATGCAAAAGCTTCTGTCGAGAGCATATGTCCAGGCATTGTTTCTTGTGCAGATGTACTTGCTGTCGCTGCTCGTGATGCTTCTGTAGCGGTAATATATAGCAAAAACTTTATGATCGATCTACATATATAGATAAAGATTCATAGAATCTGCCATTAATTTCGACAATAATTTGGCCTTTTATGTCTGAAATACGTACATAGGTAGATGGTCCTACATGGCAAGTAAGGCTTGGTAGAAGAGATTCTACATCAGCAAACCCAGGTGTAGCTCAAACTGATCTTCCAATAGCCAGTATGAATTTAGGTCAACTCATTGCAAACTTTGATCGAAAGACACTCAGCGTAAGAGATATGGTTGCTCTTTCAGGTAATGATCACTTACATCGACCCATTTTGATTAAATATCTCCTCGCCTAACAAATGATAAATTATACTTGTTGGCATGCATACATTCAGGTTCTCACACAATAGGGCAAGCAAGATGTGTTGCGTTTAGGGCAAGAATATACGATAACACCTCAAACATAGATCCTGAATTTGCTAGCAGCCTTAGGACCAACTGTCCACAGAGTGGAGGCAACGGGAACTTGGAGTCACTTGATTTGGTGACACCTAATACATTTGACGTCAATTACTTTAGGAATCTTTTGGAAAGAAGGGGTCTTCTTGCATCAGATCAGGCACTGTTTAATGGAGATTCAACTGATAGCATCGTACAAGAGTACGTCGACAATCCTTCTGTATTTTTATCTGATTTCACTGCAGCCATGGTTAGGATGGGAGACATTGATCCCCTTACTGGTGCTAATGGGGAGATAAGGACAGTTTGCACTACTGCCAATTAAGAAACAAAATTAAAGTGATGTAGTAATGATCGATGTATAATTAATATGGCTATCCGTCTACTAAGAATTTTCTTCATTTTATTTATACTTTTATGTATTCATATTTTTCGACCCATTTAAAGTTTAGTACAAGGCTTTGTGTGTGTTTTTTTTAATAAGTACCCTTCAAGAAAACTCATCAACCTTGAAAGCCACAAGTTGGGTTTTGTTTACTTGACTAACAAAATAGCTAACAAAGTTATGGGTTTAATTAATCTTAGACATGGATGTTATAACGATACTATAGTTGTATGATTAACTCCAATTTCCACTCTAATACTCAAAAATCACTTTAGGTATTTAATTATAGTATCTTTGAACATTTTTAAAGGCAAATGTATAACTAATTCCTTTGGTAGAGACTTTGTCTTTGAGGTTGGAGTTCCTAGGTTTTTATTCCGATGTTATTTCTATTAACTTTGTGATACTAACTTTCAGCTATTAACCGACAGTTCAAAGAAAAAAAATTAAGCTTAATTAAGAAAACAGTAATGTTAGACTATCACAACAAAAAAACGTAACCTTTAGTGACGACAAAAAAATGTCGCAATTGATACCCCGTGTCGTCGCTAATACCTTTAGCGACGACATGTCGTCGGTACGGGTCGTCGCTATTACCTCGTAGCTAATATTTGTTTGTCGTTGCAAATGGCGTCGTCTCTAATACTCATCGTCGTTATATGTCTCTACCGTTGTTATTGGCATCATCTCTATTGATATTCCGGCCACCGGTCGGAGTTTTTCCGGCAATTCTCCCGGAATCAGTAGTCGTCGCAATTGGTCAATGTCGTCCTCAAAGATGTCGCTGCTAATGTTTTTTTTTTTTAAAAACAATTTATTTATGATTTTAGTTTATATATATTATAAAATGCAGATTTGATAAAAATAAAGATATAAATACATACTACATTACATAAAATATCAAATATATCACATTACATAAACTATCTAATAAATCCAAAATAAACATCGAATTTATCATCCATAAACTATCTAATAAATCCAAAATAGCATCATCCATAACATAAAACAAGAAATACGATGTGTCTTCGTCTTCCTCATCATTGTTTTCCTCGTTGTTGACTTGGTTCTTAAACGAAAGGATAATATCTCCAATTGTCGTCACAAACGTCGGGTTTTGAAGAAAAGCATTCACATCAACCTTCTACAATTAAGTCACAAGTACAGTAAGTCGTTAACAATTTAACAAACTATCAAACTATCAAACCACCAGATGAATTAACTCGTTAGCAATTTAACAAACTATTAAACCACCAAATCAATTAAGTCTTTAACAATTTAACAAACTACCAAACTACCAAAAATTACTATAAATGCATCATCAAGTTCTTAACAATATAGCAAAGCTACCGAATTCTTTAAGAATTTAACTAGTACCTGTGTTGGTTGTGCTGTTTGTGACTGTGACTGTCATTGGGATAGGGCACTTGTACCCGCTGTAGAAGGAGGTTTAGGGCCAATGCCTCTCACATGCCCCCTTCGAGCACCTAACACATTCTCAAATATTGCTATCTAATCAATGGAGTCTGGATCACCACCGGAGTCGGCTATGTGATGAGTCTGTAAAGCAACCTCAGCAACTAAGGCATTCTGTATTTCACAAAGATTGTTAATATACGTTAAAACTAACACACAAAAAAACAAGAATCTACTTTATTTTTAAGTAATAATAACTTACATATTGGTCTTCAACCAAGGGATCAACAAATTACCCTTTTTTATTCACATGCCCACGATGAAATGCTTCTAGTCTATTCAAATTATGTTTAACATTACAAAATATGTTATACTTGAATAAACATTAAAAAATATGTTCTGACTGAATAAGCATTATTGTAACTTATGTTCTTAAAATAAGCACTATCGTAGCTGCACGTCCCTCCACGATTCTTAACTACTTGCTTCTTCTGGCATTCTTTGTTTTCAGCAGATCGTTTTTTATGTTTTTCTGTTAAGAAGTTGTCAATAGAATCACTCTAACACTGCAGATCCATACCCTCAGGGGATTGAGCCCTTGCTGTCTCCATATCCCCTTCAAAACGAGTAAAACGAGTTTTTGCAATATTTTTACAGCCTCTATAACGCGCACATATCTGATTGTTCAGTGACGCCTAATAAACTGAAGCCATGGGATCATTTGAAATCGCTCCAAAACCAAACCATGTCTACAAAAAAATAGAGAAATTAAAAATAAATCAAAATTAAACATATTAAATATATAAATTTGTAAATATATTACCGAAAGATACTGGAACATGCCAACCCTTTCGGCTTCAGAAACTTCTTTCCATGTGTCCTTATCGAAAACAATGTTGCACCACATATAGCTCCCAACCTACCGAATGAAACATTCGTATACTTCCCCAATCAGCATGAGAGTATTTATGTCAAATATTATCTTCAAAGTTCGTTTTCCGTTAGCTGCAAACAACTTGTACATTTTTTTTGTTTACTGTCATGCCTCTTTGTTTTGGAGGCATCACTGCATAAAAGAATATTAGTCAAAATAATTTTTTATATGTATACAATATGAAATAAAATGAATTGGAATAAATCTTAATTACCATCGATCTAATGCGCACCAAAACCTCCATGGAATAGATGTGGTGGCTCATGTCTCACCCCCGGCCGCCGGCGGAAACACCAATGTGCGCGGCGTAAACCAGTAATCACAGTTAGTGAACATACATTGAACAGTACAAATATAATCTTCTATTATTACTGCAATAGAAATTACATTGATAATGACTATAGCTAAATCGAGACACATGCCTAACAATTCGGAATTTACAAAGGTATAATATAAATAATGGAGAGTCTTCTGAGCGAACACTTCCGACCTACTAAATAACCTGAGAATACATGCATTAAGATACGTCAACAAAATTGTTGGTGAGTTCTATAGGTTTTAACACAAAGTATTTTTATATCCAAAAGTGTTTTATAAAATTTAGCTAGTTGACCATCTTTTATAAATACTTACTTTTCTATCAAAAGTATAAAATAGATGAGTTATAAAATGTATTTGGTCTCATTTAGAAACATCATGCGTTCAAATCCAAAAGTACAAAATTTGGCAAGATACATATAATAAGTCAAACTTATATAAAAAAATATCCATTTTTATTTAAAGATTTTAAATACCAAGTTATATAAAAATAAGGTATATTACCCTTTGTGAGAACATAAAATAACCAATTTTACTCCTGAAGTCTCGTACATGAATTGGTATGGCTTATATGTAAAACTCATAGGTTTTGAGTTTATAAAACTTGTAAGATTGTGTCGTAGTAATTATTAAGTGTTTTCTTACTTAATTTATGGTACTGAAACTTATTATTTTGAGTTCCATACTATCCCACTACATACAATCTCTTTCAACTAGAATAAGTGAACATAAACACCATATAAACCAAATGTCAATGCTATACGGTAACGAACAAAACTGGGATTTTATGATGAACTCATAACCGAACTTATGACAACACATTTTTTGTACCGGCTCCATAATAGGGCATGCTTAAGTCATTCACCCCATTATAACATGTGGTAATGTTCAATGGTACTAACGTCAACGCCAAAATTTGTCTTGTCAGACGTAGTTGTAGCTAGCAACTCCAGACGGGCTGTCTAACCGTACAATATCAATAATATGACACTTATACATGTTCTTAGTCGTTCTCTGTAGATTAACGGTTATGAAAATAAAAGGTTTTCCACCAAGACACACAATCTTAGTATACCCAACAACATAGCCCAAATGGATTAGGAAACAAACCTAACTCATATGGCTCTAGAAACAACGTGACACCTACAGGGAGACCCTGGAGTGTTTGATCCTAACAATGTGTCTAGGCATCATAGTCGTAAACTTTCCGTTATAAGATTGTTGAATATTTATGATTTTGTTGTTTAGGAATAATATTTGATTGAAGTCTTTTAGTATTTGAGATACACAAGACTTAATGGATTTATAAATTTCTATTGTCTGTTATGACGAAATTTGGGCAGCATAACGACTGCGATTATAACATTTTCCAGGTTTCAACCAACGTGAAACCAACAATTTCCATGATATTTACAATTCACGTCATTAATACACTACTACAAAAATACCCTTTAATGACACGCATTGCGTGTCATAAAACCCACAGATGACACGTAAATACGTGTCAAGGAAGGCCCTGTCATAAAGGAAGATGACACATATTTTGACGCACATTAACCACACACATTGAGTGTCATTGAAGCCCCTGTCATAGAGGAAGACGACACGCATTTGTGTGTCGTAACCATATGACATGCACTTACGACATGCATTGTGTATCATTAAATCCCATATCATAAATGAAGACGACACATATTTGCATGTCATAAACTTCACCAACCATTTACGATATACATTTACGATGTGCATTTATGATACACATTTACAACTTGTATTTATGCATAATACAGAAAGAAATATATACCAAACATTCAATTTCATTTAAACGCCAAACAACTTATCAAAAACATCATATGTACACCACATATTAAAAGAGGATGCTACCTAACATTTCACACAATTAACAAAAACATTGTACACCACATGTCAAAAGATGATGCTACCTAACATTTCACTGTTATTGCAACCTCCCGAAAATCCAAGGTAAAATTTTCATTTTTAAAAAAATAAGCCATACAACGAGTTTTTCCAAAATCGATTAAAGTGAATATATTATTTAAACATCAGAGTAATATCATTAATTGTCAATGCGGATAACTCTGGGGGATGTTGTGCCATTACCCCGGGCCCTTGTCCTTAGTATCGGATGTACCTGAAACATAAACTGAAAACCATAAGCACAAAACTTAGTTAGTTCCCCAAAGTACCACATACCATAACATACAAGTGCCATAGGTGATGGGTTTTGAGCATAACAAACAAAAACCTATGTGTGCATGCAACCCTAATTGAAGATCTATGTTTTCTCTAATTGAACATAAAACTTTGAACATCAAATAAGAAACCCTAGAAAATTATCAATAATCTAATATGAGTTAGGGTTTACATACCTTTTAGT